ACTAGATGTTTTCATTTTATTTTGTTTATATAGCAAATAATCTAATTTCTGATGATGACAATTTCGTTACTTGTAGAATGAAATATACCAAGCCTTTATTTTTTTGTCATTTTGATGATCATAGCTTACAGATAATGTAAAACCAACATGAAAAAATGCGCCCTGGTAGCTTTGCAGCTCATTAGTACAAATTGCAAAATATTATCTTTGTTAAAGTATAGGTATCGTATAGCCAGATAATTGCTAATTCACACCCCTACTGCCAAGTAAAGCAAACTGAATGTCCAAAATATGATTTTAATAAAGTTTTTTATGTTAAAATAAAACTTTAGAAATGTTAAAAAGGTTTGTTTTGCATCATATTGCCCTTTTTTTGATCGCAGATGAAGGTTAATTGCATAAAGTGCAGGTTAATTGTTTTTCTCATCCCTACACAAGTTTTCTGTGCTTTTTTTGTTTGTTGTTGATGCTCTGGTCTGTGTTTGTCTCAGTGTTTGCTTGTGTTGGAGCGACTGTCCGTGTGGGTCTCCGGCGGGGAAGAGCTGTGCATCTGGGACCAAAACTTCCAGCTGCTGTGTCACAGACAAAAGCACAGCGACACAGGTGAGAAAAGACAGCGAGGACAGAAAGGCTGTTGGAGCGTTGTTGCACCAGCAGAGGTTACCTTTGATGTTTTGTTTGGATGTAAAATGATGGGTGTTTATTTTGCACGTTGCAGGAATCACCGCTCTTATAGAGCTGCCGAAGAACTGCATCGCAGCCGCTGTGGATAAAGACATAGGTGAAAGAAAGATGAATGAAATATCTGCTAGCGATGCGTTACAGAAAGGCTGAATGCGTGCATTGACTCCTCCTTCTTTGCAGTGATCTACAGGTTGATGGTCTCAGCTGACTCCTCTGTGACTCTGACTGATATTTCCCGTTGTACTGATCACCATGACCAGATCCGAGCTCTGATTAACGTCAACGGTCAGCTCCCTTTGCAAGACTCTAAAGCCGCCAAAGTGCTTTTTATTTTTTTTTGGGGGAGTTTTAACATTTTTGGTTTCTTCTTCTTCTTCCTTAGATCAGATTTTTGCCAGCGGTTCCCATGCGGGGGAGTTGATCTTGTGGGATTCGTCTGATTTTAGTAACCTGGCCTATGAGCACATCCTGTGGGAGGAGTCACAGTCCAGCTGCCAGAGTGAAATAAAGCTGGCTGCCCCCAAACCCAGCGAGATGTCCATCCAGCACCTGACCACCAACGGGAGGGTGAGAGCAGAAGTCCAATTTTATATATATATATATATATATATATATATATATATATATATATA